AGACAGCGTGCATGCATCCTTTCATCATTCATTGGCTTGTTTAATCACTGAATAAACTTTTATTGAAATTCTCCTGAGTGCTAGAAACTGGGCAGTAGATGGTGAGAGAACAGGAAGAAAAATAAAACTAGGTATCCAATTCTAAGGTGACTTGCCATGATGGGAAGATGGATACAGAAACAACCAGGTATAATAGCAATATTAATATTCAGTTAAATATTAATCCATTTGAAATAGGCGTACATTCCTGTGTGTATTCTGACTCAGCAAATCAAGGAAGACTGCATAGAGGAAGTGGCATTTAAAAAATGCTTTGAGGATGAGTAAGCTTCAAACAAAGGGTTCTGTGCAGATTCTAAAATTATTATTGCCCTATAGTTCTTTATAGTTTTGTTTCAAGCTTTTACAGATAAAAAATATCATTCTACTTCCATTTCCTTCCCATAAGCTTTTGTTGAACATCTGCAATGTGCCAAGTACAGTGCTAGGCCCAAAGAGCATAGTGATAAATGGGCTTAATTCCTGATCTTGAGGCATTTAATGGGGCGGTCAAGTAGACCAACACACAAAAAGGCTCTTTGGGTACAATGTATGTGTCAGCACGCATGGATGTGCAAGGTCAGAATATGTGCTCTAACTGGTCACTTGTCACTGGTCTAAGTGTCTGTCCTCTTGGTTGGGACCAGAACACAATACCAACATCTCCAAAGTAACTGCTTGACATTCCGATGAAAAGGTGCCCCTCTGGGGGAGGGAATGGGGGTGGGTAGGGGCAGAGAACTTGCTCGCACAAGCATTGCCACAGTTCACTGTTTTGCCTCAGTAAAAAATATTGCAGCAACACAACTTTGTGGTCAGGTGTGGGATTACTTCCTCTTTTGTATTTTTGCAAACATTCAAGAGAGCCAGTTTCACCAGGATAAGGGTAAACACCATTTGATTTTCTTTCTTTTTTTTTTTAACCCTGAAGATCATAGAAGACTATAAATTTAAAGGAAATAAATGCATTAACTTGTTTCTTGTTTGTTTGTTTGTTTTTTTAAATAGCAACTTAGGGGCGCCTGAGTGGCTCAGTTAGTTAAGCCTCTGACTTTGGCTCAGGTCATGATCCCAGGGTCCAGACTCCTTGCTCAGCAGGGAGTCTGCTTCTCCCCTCCCTCCTGCTCGTGCTCTCTCTCTTGGCTATCTCTCTCTCTCTCAAATAAGTAAATAAAATCTTTTAAAAATTAATTAATTAATTAATTAACAACTTAAAATAATGAAGAGCTAGGGGTTTGGAATGAGACCAGGAGTTGTAAATTAAACCAGACACTATTACCAGAATGTTTGGGAACTAGACACATCTCTGATTCTCCTTTCCTCACATAGAAATGGGAATATAAAAGCTACTTCCCAGGTTTGTAATGAGGATTAAACTCAACAGAACAAGTCTTACATGTTTCGCCAGTTATAATTGATATACAAATGTCAGGTGTTTCCTGATGTTTCTTTCTCACCAGTCACAGGGACACATATTTTTAGTCATTGTAATCTCTGAGGGTGGTCTCAGTTTCACTCACTGTGATTCCATGAAAATACACATCTGAGGACTTTATCTGTATCTGCTGCTGTAGATTACTGAGACCAATAGAACCCGGTTCTTGCCACCAAGAATGCAGGCTCCTACTTAGACTTTATGATAGGGTTTTCATGAGCTGATCGGTCTCTTTCCATTCCCCTCCTCTGCTTGACTCCCACCCCATGTCTCAGTCTGTCTCTCTCCATTTCAATCTCTTAAAAAAATTATTCCCAATGTCATTCAGATATGAACCCTGAGCAAACGGTAAGGACATATCTAGAGCATTTTTGAGACAGGAATTCTAGCTGCAAGAAATCTTACATAAATCCTAAAAAAAACCACACATTACTGAATTCATTTATGAGTTCTAACAGTTTTTTTAAGAATCTTTAGGGTTTTCTATATATAAGATCATGTCATCTGCAAATGGATAATTTTACTTCTTCCTTTCTGATTTGAATACCTTTTATTTATTTGTCTTGCTAGTTGCTCTGGGTAGGACTTCCAGTGGTGAGAGCGGGCTTAAATTTATTGCTCACCCTTTCCGCACACAGGACCTCCATTAATAGTGGAGAATTGGACCTTCCTTGGGACATCCTTTTAAAAACACTGATTTCTAGCATGCAGAATAAAGGTGCTAAAGTCAGTTCCGCCTAGATTTTAATTCAGTTACTCATTGATTCTACAAATATTAATGGATAACCTATTATATGGCAGGCAGTATTCTTGATACTGGGTCTACAGAAATGAAGAAAAGTGACCAAATCCTCTGCCTTCATCAAGCTTACAGTCTGCTGAGGAATATATTTATCACTACAAAAAACTAAATGCTGTGGTATGTGATATAGTGAGAAGTACTAAGGAGAAGACTAAAGCAGGGGGGCAGAATAAGGAGATTGTGTGGAAGGCAATTTAGGCAATTTAGAGTGACCAAAGCAGCTGAGTCAAGAGCTAAGGGAGGTGAGGAAGAACACTCTGTGACTATCAGGGGGATATTCTGGGCAGAGAGAAGAGTGAGCACAAAGATCCTGGGGCAAGCACAAGTCTGACGTTTAAGGAATAGCAAGGAAAAATTGCGTGAGGTTTAAACAAGATTGCACACATACAGTGTTTCGTACAGTACCTGGTTCGTAGGGAATGCTCAAACATGTTTGAAGTGATCGCTATTTCTTACAGGTTGAAAATCCGAGCTTAGAATCGTAGCTCTACCAGCTCACCCTTTACTGGCTCTGTGACTTTAGGCAAAGTATTGAACTCTCTGTGCCTCAGTTTTCTCACCTGTAAAATGAGGACAATAACAGAGCCTCCCTCATGGAGTGGGTATGAGGATTAAATGTGCTAATACATATAAAGGAAGTGGAACAGTGCCTGGCAAATAGTAAGGGCTCCATAAAGTGAGTAATGACAATGATCATTAATGAGGTCCCAATATGTTTCAGATCAGTAAAGGAATACCCAAAAAGTAAAATCTTTTTGATGTCAGCCTTTTGGGAAAGGGGATTTGTGGGCATAGGCAGAGCACAGGGTCTTTGAGGAAGTCAGAAGGATTTTCTTGTCCTTCCTCCTCTAGAAAACATGAGCCAGGGCTGAAGGAAGACGATGAAAATAGAAAGAATAGGAGAAACAGGAAAAGGATGAGAAGGAGGAGAGTTATGGATTACAAGAAAGAGGGTACCAGACTCCCAGAACAGCTGTAGAGCAGAATGGCTATCTGGTCAACGTAGGCAGATGTGACCAGACCCAGTCTGGAATAAATGTGCCTGTATTCGAAGGATGCCACTAAGGCATCAAAAGATCCTGACAAAATAGACTGCAAAAACAAATGGCTTAGAAAGTAACATGTGTTAGGACTATGTATTAGTTATCTATCGTTGTGTAAGAATGACCCCAACACTTGGTGCCGTAAAACACCATTTATTATCACATAGTTTCTATGGGTCAGAAATGTGGACAATGCTGAGCTGACTTCTCTGCTTGAGGGTGTTCACAGGCTGCAAACAAAGTGTTAGCTGGAGATATAGTCATCTCAAGGCTCAGCTGGAGAAAGATCCACTTCTAAGCTCACTCACGTGGCTGTTGGCTGGATTCCCAGCATTGGACTGAGGGCTTCAGTGCTTCCCTGGCATTTGAAGCCACCCTCAGATTCTTGTTTGTGTCCTTCTGCAACATGGCCACTTGTTTCATCAAATTGTGAAGCCTAGAAGGTAATAGAGAGGCCAAAACAAGACAGAAGCCATGGTCTTTTGTAACCTAATCATGGGAGTGACAACCCATCACTTGTGGCATATCTATGCAGGAGAAGCAAGCTACTTGCTTCAGCCCACACTGAGGGGGAGGGGACCCCACAAAGATCTTTGAGGGCCATCTTTGCAAGCTGTCTACCACAGACTAGATGCACTCTCCCCCAAAAGCTTCTGCTGCTAGGGGCGTGTTCTACAGAAGATCCGGCCTGTGGCATAACCTCAGGGAGAAAGGGAACCTCAAGAAAGAATGAAATTGACTTTTCTGCCAGGCTGACCACCTGGGGCTTCAGAAGAAAAACCGATCTACAGAAAACAAACAAAGAACACATCTTGCACATTGGAGCTGATGATTCACTTATTTCTCATTTCTTTTATCTCATTTCATTCCCCAAGGCATTCTGCAAAATGTATATTATTACTCCTAATTGAAAGAACTGCAGCTCAAAGAGGTTAAGCCACAAATCCAAGGTTACATAGCTGGTAGGCAGGCAGAGTTTGGATCTCAGTCTGTGTAACTCCAAAACCCACACCCTTTCCATATCCAACGCACCTTAGTGTTGCTAGAATGTATTTTTTTTTTTATCATTTACAATAGCAGAGATTTTTAGGAACCCGCTGACAGGAAATTCTTTGAGCTCAGCTAAAATATAAGCATAAAATGTAAAATGCCACCCATAGAGTTTCCCGTAAAGCTCAACCTTTGGTGAATCAGCATATTGCCACTACAGACATTTCCACAAAATCCAGTTCCTGGTATTGAATAGTATTCTGAATTTCTATAGCATCAGTGCATTATCACCAATAAATTTAATTGATTTGGAAAGAACACAACTATGCACTACTATACTGAAAAGGCTCAGAGGATGACAAGCAAGAAGTGTTGCTTCTCCAGAAGTTCTTCTTATGTCCTCGCAGTGAGGGTGATGAGGTAGCTCAGAAAAACATCCCTCGAGTGACCATGATGTATCCAGCTGGCCCGATTTGTGTGCTCCACATCCCCTGCCGCTGGTCCAGGAAACTCTTCTGAGTCTTCACCATACTCCTGGGTGTGAACGCCACTGATGAGAGCCCAACAGGAAGTGTGACCTCATCCTGCCTCTCAGTCTCTGGTTATGCAGGCTGTTTTTGAAAGAAAACAAGAGCAGTTGTAAAGCTGACTTTCTCAAGAACTACATGCCCTTTTATTCTAGGAAAGAGCCAAACGAACAAGAGGCCACTGAAGATAAAACTCTGCACACAGTGATGTGTGCATGCTTCTGTTAGAAGGACGGAATGGATTTCTCTTTATTACAAGACCTCTCGGCACCTGTTGACACTTTGACATTCTTTTCAGCTGAAGAACCGCTAAGTCCTGGATTTCTCCACTGTCGCCCAGAGGAAACTTTGCACGTCAGTAATTCTTCTATTTATCAATAGCAAGGAGAAACTGGGAAGTCCCTTTAGAAGGAACATGTATGGACAGATTATTTTGCAGAACGGATGTGTTACTTTGATTGGACTGGTAGACAGAATCTGTTTCTTGAGAAGATTTAGAGCTGTTACTGAATGTTTTTTCAGTGTTACTAATACTCAATTAACTGTTAGTATACTGCCTATAGCTTGATACAAATATTTGTAAGATATAGCAGTAAAACCTTGCTTTCTGCCACAGGACTTGTTGGTTTAAAATTAAACTTAAAGCTTGGGGAAAGCTAACATGGTATAATTTGGGCTGCACACTTCAGATGATACCGATCAAAAATCAAAAGGACAGTGGCAAACTATTATATTACGGTGCAAACAATATTATTTTATATTCCAAACAAAAATCTATGAATGTGTGCTTTGGTTTAGAGACTTCCAAGGAATGCCAGAAAGTTCTCCTGACTTCTCTAAAGGTCTCTATAAGCTAGGATCTCTATTTTTCTAAAAGGTGTTGCATCTAATTTATTGAAAGAATCAATTTTGGAGCTGTAGGATCATCCTGGTTTGATTTAATATATGACAGCTACAAAAACAATCCATTACTAGTTATCACATTTTAAAAATGTGGATAGGTGGTAAATCAGAAAAGAATTTAGTCCTACCTTGCAAGGCTATTAGGATAGCGATGTGTAAAAAAGTGTCATAGTCTACAGCAGGTAGATCTCTGTGATGAGTGGTACATGATCAAAGTCTACATAATTTACACACTTGGATATATTTTAAATTTGTAATTGAGAAAGCAAATTTATATGTTCATGAGAACTGCGATTTGAAATATGCCTGGTGGTAGGCTATTTTTACCAAAACGCTGCTTGTGCTGCTTGGGAATGTCCAGGCTGACAGCATCTACTAAAGACTGTCAGCCTTCACTATGACTACCTGTCAATGGTTCGAGGTGTTGCACAAAAGGCCAACACCAATCCCCAGGTATTGCTTGAAACTTGATGAAGAGGGCGATGTGTGTTAGATGACAAAACTACAAATACACTTATTTAGAGGGCTCTGCAGCCCAATCTTTTTTTCTGATTTCTTAACCAAATAATTCGCTTGCATTGTTGATTTTGATGACAAATCAATCACGTAAATCTAGGTTTCCCAAATAAAATGTTCTTATTTACAGAACAAGATTATTGGATGCACTCAGCCAGACAATGGGAAATAACACAAAATTGTACACGCAGACACAACCTCAGTGGTCATTTGTTCCAGTCTCCTCCTTCAGTCCTAAATCTCTGTGTCATTGAGTAAACAAGTCTGACTGGGTGCAATTAGTAGATGCCATCTGTTTTGGCATCATTTTTCTATTTTTAATATATAATCCACCTTTTTTTCATGGCTCTTTCAGAAAATCTGTGAAGTTTGAACAAGCAGCCTTCCCAAGATGTACCGAATATCTCAACTGATATCAACACCAGTGGCAAGTAAATGTAGGAGAACTGCTATGCGCAATTATCTTTTGAACGATTAGACTTCTTTTAGCAATTTCCTTGCTTTGATTTTGCTGATACTCATACCATTAACCATCTGTCAGTAGCTTGTGCTTCGTAAGTGCCAGTGTTCACTTTGGCAATGATTTTGACTTCATTTCTTTCCTTGAGAGAAATGTGGTATTTGTCATTTTAGTAGAAAAAAATCACTGGTTTTTTAGATGCCTGTGCATAAATGTGAAAGGAGATTGTTTATCAGCTACTATTAAGATGCAAAACTGTCTATAAAAAATACTGAATGATTTTGATAGCTACTTGCAGGAAGTAAGGGCGTTGTTAAAATGGTAGTGGTTTCAAGTTTCTTCCTTCCTCTTGTCATTTTCTCTCCAAGTCCTGCTTCTAACCCCTCCCCCCAACACACATACACCTATAATTTACTCCTTACAAATCAACCAGCCCAATCTGAAAGCCTAAACTTTGTCTTAGATATTAATCGTCCACAGTGGAATCAAGTTTCACTGAGCCTATTATAAGTGTTCACACATTACTGTATAAAATCCTGCTTTAGAGTTTAGAATATTAGTTAACTGCACTTTCCCCGACTGAAATCTGTTGCTATGCCTTTGGTTAAAGTGGATTGAATGGATGGATGATTTTTTTTTTTTCATTAAGAATATTCACAGGCAGGGCGCCTGGGTGGCTCAGTCGTTAAGCGTCTGCCTTTGGCTCAGGTCATGATCCCAGGGTCCTGGGATCGAGCCCCGCATCGGGCTCCCTGCTTGGCGGGAAGCCTGCTTCTCCCTCTCCCACTCCCCCTGCTTGTGTTCCCTCTCTCGCTGTGTCTCTCTCTGTCAAATAAATAATAAAATCTTAAACAAAAAGAAAGACTATTCACAGGCTTCATACATTGGAAAATCATTTATATAAAACAAAACAAAACAAAACTTAATTTATTTTCCTCCATTAATGTCTTCTGCTCATTATTTTACAATAGAAGTGCCTTAAAATTCCCTAATGAGAGACAGTCTAGGCAGATGATTAAATTCTTCAAATTACTGAGTAAGCTAAAATAACTAGCACATTGGGTCATTGATTTCGGTATTCTACAGCTTCACACAAGATGCTTTCTTCCTCCTTTTCATGATGAGTCAGTTTGACGCTAATGGTTTATTATTGCCTCATCCTCCACTAAGAAACCTCTAAAGGAATGTTGAGTGAGAGAAGAAACAGAAGATAGAAGCCCTTAGATTATTTCTGGCTCCCCATAAAGGCCTGGTGACAAGTCGTGTTAGTCCTGATTCACTGGATGGCTGCACCAGTTGGAATCTCTGCTGAGCCTGGAGCTATTCATACCTTCTTTGACGCCTCCATTAAATGCAGTCATGCATGCTGGGGAGGTGGGATAAATTCATACTTCTCTCCTGTTTGCTGATGCAGGTTCTTCTGACTCTGAGAGAAGATATACTGGAGAGCCGTCTCCCACGTGTGTTTTCCCAAGGTATTCCATGGGACTTTTCTCAAGACAAATTAATCATGTTTCTTCCTGTGTGTCTTACTTTGTTGTATTCCTGGTTTAAAAATATTAGTTTTAGCTATCATCCAGTTTTGGTATGGGCATAAATCTTTAGTCCCATGTACATACAAAATGAAAACTTTCCTAACCTAATAATGGAATTTGAGAGGGTGGCTGTGAGTGTGGGAGCAAATGTGAATTGTTTGGAGAGTGGAGAAACTGCTGGATGCTGATGAATAGTTACTTTTTCTCAAATTGATGTTCTCCTAAATATGCTTTACTATCTTACTTTATAAGAGCAACAAGATTCTACACCAATGCCCAAGCTGGCCGAGTTCCGTTCCCCACAAAAACATGTAGAGTCTACCATTTTGTTCAAGTTCTACAATGAAGTCTCTCCTTTTCCTTCCTTCCTTCCTTCCTTTTTTTTTTTTTTTTTCTGTCTCTTCTCTCTTATTCCTCATGCAGGTCTCATTGATGTTTTCTCCAGCATTTTGTAAAATGTGCCAATGGTATAAAGGAATCATGCATTGGTGTTAGAACCTGCCCTTGTTTGTAAATTCTAGGCCTCTTGCTACTATCAGATGAATCAGCCAAGGATGAACAAGAAGGCCATGAGGAACAAGCACACGCTTTAGGGTCAGATAGACTGGAGCTTGAATCCTAGCTCTGTCACTCATCAGCTGTTATAAAATGTCCAAGTTATTTGTCCTTCTGCATCTCATGTTTTTTTTTTTCCCTACAGTCCAATGAAGATTACAATACTTAGCTTTTGGGGAGGTTTGTGAAAAGTAGATAGAGCATGAAGTATGAGCCAGGCTCATAGTAAGTTTTTAATAAATAATATCCATTTAAAATAGTATTTTACTAACCCTTTAGTGCATGTATTAATTGTGTACAGGTTTCTACATTTAAAACTTTATCAGAGGGCTCAGTAGGTTAAGTGTCTGCATTTGGCTCTGGTCATGATCCTGGGCTCCTTGCTCAGTGGGGAGTCTGCCTCTCCCTCTTCCTTTGATCCCCACCACCCAGTTTGAGCACGACCCCCAGTTTGTGCTCTCCCTCCCGAATAAATAAATAAAATCTTTAAAAAATTAAATAAAACTTTATCAGAAATTCAGTAGAGCTTGTGGCATGAGGTGGCCTTTCAATCACATAGGCATATGATTGTTTATCAAACCTAAGGCACATGGAGATTTTTCCAACTGAATAGGAGATTTCCCTGGATACCAAATCACAAACTGCAAGATCATTTGTACAGCTGACCTAGAGGGAAATTGGCAAAGGCCAAAAAGATCTCTTTGACTGCTTGTTCACCCTATAATTCATCTGTGTCTGGTGCCTGCATAGTTGTAATTTATCAATCACAGGGAAAGAGTAAAGATACTGCAATTGGAGGGCTATTCAAAGAAAGGGGGTGGAGACTATAAGCTTCCAATATCCCAGATAGGCTGTTTTGCAATTTTTCCATCCAAGAAAATGGATTAATGTCAAAGATGTAGTTGCATCATATGGTGAATAGACTGATTAACCATAATGTTTTTATCAACATGTTTAAAACAGAAAGAGGCACTAAATACCTTGTCGTTTAATGCTCTCACTAGTGAGAAGATGAAGCCCAGATTAAGAGTGACATTCTTAGGGTGGCAGAAGTAACTGGTAGCCATGAATGCAAAGAGGTATTTTCCTTCACAGTGGCTAGAAATGTGGTTTTTGTGGGACTGGATGTAGTGGTTAGAGATGTAAAGGACTTTCCTTCTTCCCTCTTTAGTTTTGCCTATGATTTCCTAGATGGTGACACTTCCTCCGAATGCTGCTCTGTAGATCTCCTGACGGCCTCCCACTTTGCCTGTCGCCGAAGTCCCAGACTCCTCTCCAATGGCTACTACACTTGGACAGAAGACAGTTTCCTTTGTGACAAAGATGGCAACATAACTCTGAGCCCACCCCAGACCAGTGTCCTTTACAAGGAGAATTTAGTTAGGTAAGTAGAAGATATTACATAAAAGAATCTGAAGTCCAATCCACCCACTAGTTATTCATTCATTCATTTGTTCATTTAGCAGTGATTTCTAAGAGCCCATTACTGCTCCAGACTGTGGAAGCACAAAGACTAACATGGGGCAAGGACAGCTGACATGAAAACAAACAAACGTGATGAAGCAATATGGGTGTGTGGGTAGAGGTCTGAATAGAATGCAGTGGAGAAAAGGAAAGGAAGCCTATTTCATTTGGGGAAACAGGTTAAAACAAGATTCCTAGAGATAATGAAGATTGATTTGAGTCTTCACAGATGTAGGATGTTAGCTAAAATGAAAGTAGCAAAGGAGACTTCCAGAGAGGGAATGGGCATGGGGCGCTGGGAGACCCTGTGCCATTTGGGAAATGGCAGGTGGTTTGGCAGAGATACAACTCAGGGTGGAAGGGACAGGAGAAAAGACTGAGCAGATACAGACTGAACAGAGAAGCTTCAAGTCCAGCTGAAGGCATTGATTTTTGTTCCGAAGGTAGAGAGGAGCCATTGACAAATGACAAATGACCAGATTTATCCTTAGCACATTAACACTGATTACAATGTAGAGGATGGGTTGCTGGGAGTGTGGATGGGTGAGTAGTCAAAATCTTTCAGAAATGCAAATCAAATTATGTCATCACCATGCCCCTCCCTTGACATACCCAGTGGTTTCCCTTTGCTCTAACATCAAATTCCAACTCTTCACATAATGTTACAATAATGGAGAACCATTCAAGATTCTTTATTCCCTGCCTTAATTTTACCTCTTCCAGCCTCATTTCCTAGCATGGCCCAATATGAGACTGACTTGTTCTTCAATGAGTAGGACAGATCATCCTATGCAGCTCAGTGGTCACCTATCCTCAGAAGCCTTTCTTGACTCCTGATCAGCAATGCCCTTCCTGGTGCTCTCAGAGCAGCCTCCAGTTAATTCTGTCAGAGCACACACCCCCTACATAGCATGGTAATGCAGGGCAGAGACTATGGAGCCAGCCTGCCTGGGTTTGCATCCCAGTTATGACACTTACTAGATGTATGACCTCAGCCAAGTTACTTAACCTTTTGTGCCTCAGTCTCCTGATCTGAAAAATGGGGTCACAATAGTACTTCCCTCAGGGGGCTGTTCCAAGGATAATGTGTTACTTTATGTAAACCACAAGGAAAGACATCTTGTGTGGGATAAGCTCTATGAAGTCATTAGCTTCATCTGCATAGTTCTTGTCTCTTTCCTGTACTGGTTTGTGAACTTTTTGTACCAAAGGTTTTATTTTGTATCTCAGTATCTTTGATATTGATCCAGGCACCTGGAACACACAGAAATTTAAGGAACTTCTGTGGGATTAACAGAGGGAACAAATGAAATGAGCTTTGCGGATCTGAATTACGGAGATGTGTTCTATGCATCAAATCACTTCCACTAAATTCTTGGTTTTGAACCAAACGTGGCTGCTATTCATTATGCATCATGCTACTTTCATTTCTCTCCAGAATATTTAGAAAGAAAAAGAAAATCCGCCGTTCCTTTTCTAATCTCTTCAACCTCGGTGCCTCTAAATCCTGGCTGCATGGAAACATCTTTGGTGATGTTGACTCTTCCCTAAGTGAGGACACCTGGTTAGAGGGGGTCAGGAGGCTGGACATGTACCATTGCAATGAAATCGGTGAGTTTGAATCTCCTTTTCCACAGTGAAATATCATTCACAAATGGGCAGTAGCAACCATGTATGTGGTCCTGCACCAATTGCATAGAAAGGATGGGCCACATTTTTAAAAATCACCTAAAGTTCTCTCCACACTACTTATATGATCTAACTACATATGTATTCATGTCATGTGTTATGCAAAATAGCCTAATTTAAATGTGTAAATTATTAAGCTGATAATACCTGAAGAATGTATTTGTACATCTTCAATATGCCTTCTCTATATGGGATATAGATGGAGAAAAGACACTGAAGTTGGGGTCCAAGTCCCAAGTAACTGAGATAGTTACTTAATTTGGCTATGTCTCAATTTCCTTATTTTAAAAACAAGATACATATGCAGAGTATAATAATATATATAAGCCTGTTGAAATACATGCTATATATATTAGATATACATGTATATCATATATATACACGTATACATATTAAATATACATGATATTGTTTAAACATATTATGCAATACACATAATACAATATTAATATATGTAAATATGTGTGTATAGATACACATATATGTACATAAACACAATGATGTGGACTCAAAGTATATCTTAAAGATTAAATGGGACATGAAAGTCAAGCATAGTTCAGTCCCTGGTACTCAGTGATTTGTAGTTACAATTATTTTTATTACTAGAATGGAAACAATGGATATTTATTGGGCACCTACCATCTGCCAGGCAGTGTGCTAGGTCTGGGGACACAAGAGTAAATACAAATAACATAACCCCAGTCTTTAGTTTGCTGGGGCAGTGGGGTGAAGTTCAGATCTTTATATAAGTCAAATAATTGCACAAGTAAATATAAAATAATTATGGTAAATGCCATGGAGAAAAAGTATATGATGTAACGGGACATATTACCCAATCAGAAACTCAGGAAAGTTGTCCCCATGAAAGTGGCATTTGCGCTGTTTTCTACAAATTGGGAAGGGCTTCAATGGGCAAAGGGGGGAGATAAGAGCGTTCTGGACTCAAGAGACAAAATGGCTAGGTCTGAGGAATCTAGGGAGTAGGTTTCCTGGGTGAGGGAAGACCACATGCATGGTTTGGAGCATGTTGAGTTTAAGTTCCTTTGGGACATAAGGGGCAAGTCAATCTTGAGCTCCAAGGGACAGCGTGAGATAAAACTACACATCCGTGAGTTGCCTCACTCTAGGTGGCCCCTGGAACCATGGAATGGGTGAGAAAGATTAGGAAGAGGGTAGAGTTAGCAAAGAGGGAGTCTAGAAGGGAGCGTTTTGAATGGGTTAAGAGGACAGGAGTAGCCTGCAAAAGGGATTGAGAGGAGGCATCCAGAGAGGTGAGAGGAAAACTAGGTGTTGTGAAATAAGAATCAAAGGAAAATAGTGCTTCAAGAAGGATGGGAAAGTCATCAGTGGCAAATCATGCCCAGGGGTTAAACAAGATGACAACCGGTTTCATTGATCTGGAAGTTATTGGTGGTGGAATGATGGAGGCAGAAGAGAACTAGGAGGGATGCCTGGGTGGCTCAGTTGGTGAAGCGCCTGCCTTCGGCTCAGGTCATGATCCCAGGGTCCTGGGATCTAGCCCTGCATCGGGCTCCCTGCTCAGGGAGGAGTCTGCGTCTCCCTCCCCCGCCCCCCGCCACTTGTGTTCTCTCTCACTCTCACTCTCTCAAACAAATAAATAAAACCTTTAAAAAAAGAGAGAGAACCAGAGGGTAGAGGATGAAGAGTGTGGGAGGTAAGGAAATAGAGGCATGGGGTATTGAGGACCCTTCAAGATGTCTTCTGAGAAGGGAAGGAGAAAGACTTGGTCCCTCTTACACACACATTCCACTCTGGTCACACTCATCCACTCTCAGTTTCCTGAATGGACCATGTTCTTCCACACTTCTGTAGCTGTGCTCATGTTGTTCACTCTTCTGGAATTCATTCATTCATTCATTCATTCATTCATTCATTTGGAAGATTTTATTGAGGGCCAGCTATGTACCGGGCACCATTTTACACACTGGGACATAGTGGCAAACAAACTTGTTCTCATGGAACTTGCATCCCTGTGGGGGGAGACAGAAAGTGGTAAGTGGTGTGGGGAACAACAGAGGAAGAAGAGATGGGGATTGCAGGTTTAAGTAGGGTGATTAAGATGGCCTCATGAGAATGACTTCTGAGCATTGACTTAAAAGTGGGACTAAAGCATCTGGGAGGGGAACAATCCAGGCAAAGGAAATGCCAGCACAAAGGTTCTGGACTAGGAGCATCCCAGGGCTGAGTGTAAGGGGGAGAGAGAAGATAGGATTGAAGAGGTATGTGGCTGGGTGCAAGTGGGGAAGGACAGGGACAATGGGAGGCCAATTCAAAAGCTTTGCCTTCTACTTTGAGTAAGAGGAGAACCCACTGGAGGATTTTGATCAGAGGAATAACATGATTCCATTTACACATTGACAAGATATCTCAGGCTGCTGTGTTCAGATTAAATGTAAGGTACGTATTGCAGAAGAAGCAAGGAAACCAGTTAAGAGGCTGTTGGAGTGACTCAGTGGGGAGAGAATAGGAGCTTGAACTAAGCAGGTAGAGGTGAGAAGCAGTAGGATTCTGGATACATTTCAAAGATAGTGCCAACAGGAAAAAAAAAAAAAAAAAACAGCCAACAGGATTTGCTGATGTGGCCTTAGAGAAAGAAGTCAAGTGTATTTATTTATAAGCTAAGTACTTTACATTCTGTCCTGTTTAAGTATATTACCTTGTTTATATACATTATCTTGTTTAGATATCCCCAAACCCCCTCGGAAGTAGGTCATATGATCAGAATTTTTTATAATTACAGTGAAAGTGAGGCTCAGGGTTAACTGACTTGCCCAAGTTCATTTAGTTTATAAACAGCAGAACTGGAATCCATTGTGGGTCTGTCTGGTTCAAAAGCCCAGTCTTTGCTCTAGTGCCAGTAAGGATTTTGCTTTTCTTTCCAAGATGAAATCCAACATATACCCCACAGCCCAGGCTCAAACAGCAAGCAAGGGAGTCATATAATACAACAATATAATAATTTAAAGGTATAGTACTTGCATGTCTTACTATTTTTCTCATTCTGCTTCCTGGACAGAGAACACAATGCTACATTCATTTTTTAAAAAAATCTTTTTAAGTTGTGGGAATTATAGATTCATGAGAAGTTGCTAAAAATAGTACAGAGAAGGCCTGCATACTCTTCATCCAGATTCCCTCGCTGGTTACAACTTGCTCAACTATATACAGTCATTATCAACACCAGGAAATTAACATGGACACAACATGATTAAGATTTCACCAGTTTTTAAATGCACTTGTGTGTGTGAGAGTGTATTACTACATCAACTTAAAAACAGAGTAAGTACTTGTTAAATGAAGATATAATTCTTATACAAACAAAAGATTAATTAAATGGAGTGTATCCTAGTTCCCACAATAACAAGGATGTATAAACCGGACAATGAGAAGAGAAGGAGGCAGGGCGGTGGGGGATGAGCCTGGAAAGATAGACTGAAGTTATATTTGGAGAACCTTCTGTGCCGTGTTGAGGAGCTTGTATTTTATCCTACTCAATCAAAAGTATCTTAGAAGGCTCTTGAGCAGCGCGATAACATAATCAGATTTGAATTTTCAAAGATTACCTTGACAGTAACATGAAGTGAAGATTGGATGAAGGGTACCAAGTGGGAGCTCAGGGGCACTTAAAACCAACAGGCAGACAAAGTAACATGGATCTAGAAATAGAGAGGAAGGAAGAGATTTAACAAATATTCTTCAAGGCAGAATGGACAGGTTGGTGAACGACTGAATGTAACTATGAGAAGTGGGAAGAATCAAAGAACACTGAGGGTCAGCAGGAAAAGTTCAGCCATCATGAAGGCCTGGAAGATAGTACTAGCAGAGTGATGAAGAGAATGGGCGTTTGAGCTGAATGGGCCTGAATTCAAGTCCTGAAACCATCTTTTCCAACCTGAGTGTTCTTGGGCAAGTTAATTAACCCCCTGACCTCCATTTCTTCACATATAAAGGAGGATAATAGTAACACATAGAATTATTGTGAGGATGATATGCACTAATTCATGAAAAGTACATATTAGCATAGGGGCTGGTGTTCTGCTTGGGACTTATTAGCTCTAAAGAGGCAAAAAAAAAAAAAAACAGATTTGAGTCAAGAAACGAGACAACAAATTCTATTTCACATGAACTGAATTTGAGGCACCAATGGGAAGTGGAAAGATAGCCAGGGGAGGTTTGGAAACATAATAAAAGCATTGCAGAACAAGAAAGGACCTAAAGATATTCCTTTGGAAGCCAATAGGAGAAGTTGTAGAGGTCTCTGGAATAAAGGGGTTTACCTATAGAAAATGTGAATGAGCAGAAAGGGGAGTTAAGAAAGGAACTGAGGAGGTCAAACAGAAGCTCCAATCATTATTTCCCCTAACAACAATGAGTGTCATGGGCCAGAGTTATCCCAACCAATCCATATATTTTTTAAAGGTTTTATTTATTTATTTCAGAGAGAGAGAGCAAGTAGGGGAAGGGGCGGAGGGGGAGGGAGACTCCCGCTGAGCAGGGAGCCCCACATGAAGCTCAATCTCAGGACCTCAAGATCATGACCTGAGCCAAAGGCAGATGCTTAACTAACTGAGCCATCCAGGTATCCCCCAACCAATCCATATTATGTACATCCCCTCTCTCCAGTGTCTGTGAAGGAGTATTACTCGTGTATGTGTGTGTGTGTGTGTGTGTGTGTTAAGAACACTCAACATAAGACCTACCCTCTTAGCAAACTTTTGTCCACTACACAGCATTGTTAGCTGTAAGTTCTGTGCTGTGCATTAGATTAGTAGGACTTATTCATCTTGTACATCTGAAACATGGACTGCTGAAATCACATAGTATTTCTCCTTCTGTGTCTGACTTATTTCATTTAACATAATGTCCTTTAGGCACATCCATTTGGTGAGGTTGTGGAGAAA